TGCGCACAACATCGCGTATCTTATAATATGGTGTACGGTATTGCCTTAGAATCAGGATTGCTTGCACATATTTCTTAAAAACACACCACCAATAGTTTTTCAGCACTCTAGTGTATATTTTTTTATAGTGGAAACTTGGACTGTTTAAGAAACTAATAATTATGTAGTGCAAATTAATGGTTTGAAGATTGCAATATGTGTGATGCAAATGCAATGTTTTAAGTATGAGACCAACTAGCTTTACTGGTCATGGTTATAAAGAAGACAAAAGATAAGTGATGTAGAACAAATTGCGGACATATTTATGGAGAGGCAGGACCGACACAAGCCCAAACGCAGACCAAGTCGAGGAAAATAACTTACAACGAAGAACAAGTCATATCTCTCAAATCATAAGTCGGAATTAGCCGAATTATATATGTAAATCATGTATTTTGTCAAAATGGAGTCAACCAAACTGACCGTTGTATGGTTTTCTGCCATCCGTTTTGCCAAATTTCCTCCGGATTGAGAGATGTCAACGTTTTTGTCAGTTTTTTTTACTATTTTAGGTAATGTTTTAGGAGTCTGTTTTGATTAGGAAGCAAATCTGGTTTGATTCTAAATTTGATTGATTTACTTCCGTAATCCTAAGGACTCTTTTAGGAAGAGTTTTTTTATTTCTATTTTTGGTAAAATTTGAGTCATAGTAGGAGTCTTGTTTATTTTCTATTTACACAGAGTATTGTAAGCCCTAGAGCCTTAACTTTTCATCGATAAAATTTCTCTTTTAATATTTTCTTCGTGGATTCGGAGATCGTTCTTTGTGGATTCAGAGAACACCCCTTGGTGGATTCCGATGTTATCACTTTCGCGTTGCGTTAATAAGCTAAAACTTTAAATTAAGAAATTCAATTTTGATTCCTTTCATAGTGAAAAATTAGTGAAGAGACTTCTATTTTTCAGTTATAATTGTCTATTATTTAGTGAGATATTCTGATTTGTCTTGAGTGAAAAATGAGCAATTAATGAGCTCAAAACATGGAGAGCATAAAATATATATTTGAGTTTCCAAATGAATCATAAATAATCCTCCATAAAAGTATAGAAACTATCATTAACAAGACACATATCCTATCCGGTCAGCTTGCATGCGAGGGTGATACTGACTGGTTTGATTCCTAGAGGGGGTGGGGCTGGGGACATTTAAAGAATATATATATATATATATATATATATATATATATATATATATATATATATTATATTATATATATATATAGATTAATGAGTATCCTTGTCATAGGAGGAGATTTCCTCCTTGAGCCCTCTAAAATCACATGATTGAGCGACATTATGGATGATCCGCTCGTTGAACTTGATGTCATATTCTAAAACCCCAACACACCACACAGTTTGGGGTGAATCCGTCGTCATTGACCTCCATCAGGCCATGTGAAAAATTTATTCATTCAAACCATTAAAATTGATACGAGTGGATGAAGGGTCAAACGACGAGCGTTCACCAAACTTAGTGTGTTGGGGTTTTAGAATATGTAGATCAAGTTCAACGGAACGATCATCACAATGTCACTCAGTCATGTGATTTTAGAGGCGTAAGGAGAAATCCCCTCCTATGACAAGGATACCCATTAATCTATATATATATTATATATATTATATATATATATATATATATAATATATATATATAGAGAGAGAGGAGAGAGAGAAAGAGAGAGAGAGAGAGAGAGAAAGAGAGAGAGAGAGAGAGAGAAATATGGGTATGCTTGGTACAAGCATAAATTTTGTCCTTTGTAGTGATTGGCACAATCCTCCACTCATTCAAATTGGGGACACATTCACATGGGTTGAGAAGTGCATGGGGATATGCAACCATTTGAGTGAGTGGAGGAGATTATACCACTCACTACCAAGCATAACGTTTTATGCTTAGTCCAGCATACCCATTTTTCTCGATTATTATATATATATATATATATATAATATATATATTATAATATATATATATATATATATATATATATATATATATATTATATATATATGATGGGAAAAATGTGTCCAGGCCCCAAAAGCAGAAAGTTCATGTGACCCGCCCCTTTGTATTTTGCCCCATGTGATTCAGCCCCAAATACACATTGTATTTGTGTTAAGGCCCCAAAGTACCAGATCCTGAGAAAAGCCCAACAAAAGTTATAAAATTACCCTTTGATTTGATTGAGCTTGGTAACTGCGTCCATCCCTTTAACCCCATCCCATCTCTCTCTCTCTCTTTCTCTCTCTCTTTCTCTCTCTCTCTCTCTCTCTCTCTCTCAGCTTCTCCTTCTCTCTCACTTCCGTCATGGCCGCTGAAAATGATCAGACCCTGGGGAGGTCGTGGAAGGCGAAGGCGAGGACGGTGGTCATGGAGTCGGAGGTCGGGGAGTCATCTTAGAAACAGCTCGTGAACGCGGGTTCAACAACAAACACGGAACATGGTCCGGGGACCCGCGAGCTGACGGAGCCCGGAGCTTTCGTCCGATGCATCGTTGTTCTCCCCTTTCTAAGTTACGGAATATCTTTACCCAAATCAATGTCTTAATCAAGATAGTGCTCTTGTTTTCTTGTAATTTATTCTCTTTCATTTAATTGAAATGGGATCTCCTTGGATTCTTGAACAGCGGTTTGGGTTTTTCTTTAATGCATTTTTCTTGTGTGATTTGGTGATTGATAGAGTTTTGTATAAGAGATTAACAACAGAAATTCAAAAGCTCACATTGAATCTTCAGGCATATCGACATTTAGCTAAAAATTGAAGATAATGTGATTAAAAGTCGACTAAAGAATCTAAGAACCTGTGAATTTGAAAGGGGGGACAAGGAAAATTAGAACTATGAATGTTAGTTCTAAGGGCTGTCATGTTAGTTCTAAGGGCTAGAATGTTAGTTCTAAGGGCTGAACTGTTAGTTCTAAATACTGGACTGTTAGTTCTGAGGACTGGACTGTTAGTTCTACCAGCTTCCATGTTAGTTCTGTCATCTCTTACGTTAGTTCTACCCGCTTTCGTGATATGTTATCTCCTACGTTAGTTCTGTTCGCTGCCATATTAGTTCTGTCCGTTCTACCTTCTTTATGAGAACATTATAAACAACAATATCAGGATGAACACCATTTTTAAGCATCATTCTTAAAGTTTAAACCCAGCAATTAGATTGCTATGCTTGCACAAGCAATCGACCAAACTACAATATGCTATGGCATCTGGCATAAATCCCCTCTTTAGTATTTGAAAGAAAATTATTGCTGCTTCCTTCAACATTCCTTGCACAGCCACTCCCTTGAGAAGGATGGTGAAAGTAACAACATCAGGTATGAGCTTGTGTACCCCCAATTATCTATAGATTTTATGTTGGTGAAAATAACTACATGAATTAGAACTAGAACTAACTTGCTCTTTAAATATATCAATATGAAATGAGTTAGAACTAACAAAGAGCACAAGAGCCTAAAACTAACATGAATTAGAACTAGAACTAACATGCAATGGGTTAGAACTAACATGAATTAGAACTAGAACTAACATGCAATGGGTTAGAACTAACATGAATTAGAACTAGAACTAACATGCAATGGGTTAGAACTAACATGAATTAGAACTAGAACTAACATGCAATGGGTTAGAACTAACATGAATTAGAACTAGAACTAACATGCAATGGGTTAGAACTAACATGATGCTCAGTGTGTTAGTTCTAATTGACTGTTTTGTTAGGTCTATTGTCTGTTTTGTTAGTTCTATTGTCTTTTTTGATAGTTCTAATTGACTGTTTTGTTAGGTCTATTGTCTGTTTTGTTAGTTCTATTGTCTGTTTGATTAGTTCTAATAGACTGTTTTGTTAGGTCTATTGTCTGTTTTGTTAGTTCTATTGACTATTTTATTAGTTCTATTGTCTATTGTCTGTTCTGTTAGTTCTAATGCTCAGTGTGTTAGTTGTGTTAGTTATTTTGTTAGTTCTATTAACGCTCTTGTTAGTTGTAATGAGAGTTAGTTCCATTAACGCTCAGTGTGTTAGTTCTATGTGTTTTCGTGTTAGTTCTAATGATCAGTGTGTTAGTTCTGTACAGTGGCATGCTAGTTCTAATGTGTAGCATGTTAGTTCTATTAGGTACAATGTCTGTTTTGTTAGTTCTATTGTCTGTTTTGTTAGGTCTATTGTCTGTTTTGTTAGTTCTATTGACTATTTTGTTAGTTCTATTAGGTACAATGTCTGTTTTGTTAGTTCTATTGTCTGTTTTGTTAGTTCTAATGCTAGTTCTAATGCTCAGTGTGTTAGTTCTGTTAGTTCTATTAACGCTCTTGTTAGTTCTATTGTCTGTTTTGTTAGTTCTAATAGGTACCATGTTAGATCTATTCGGTAGAACTAACATGAGTTATTGCTCATGATAGAGTTCAAAAAAGGGCGGGAAATTTTCCTCTATTTTTTCCATCAGATCGCATTAATGAGCGTGACTTTCCATGTAGTTTGTGGACCAGACGTTTAGGGAAGATAAGTGGAGGGGTAATTTCGGGTTTTTTTCAAAATACAATCTATTTTTTTATACTGCTGACGTGGAGGGGCCTTGAAATATTAAATGGTACTTTTTGGGGCTGAATCGCATGGGGCAAAATACAAGGGGGCGGGTCACATGAACTTTGTGTTTTTGGGGCCTGGACACATTTTTCCCTATATATATATATATATATATATATATATATATATATA